CAGTGCCCGCGGGGGATGAAGATCTTTTGGTGGCAGGATGGGAAGCAGAGGAAACTCACAGCTGCTGGATGACCTTGGGCAAGCCATCGTTCTGAAAAGAGCTGTTCTTGAAAAAGAGCAATTTCTGTCAGAGCTCTCTCAGCCCCACCGACCTCACAGGGTGTCGGTTGTGGGGAGGGGAAGGAGTTTGTAAGCCGCTCTGAGACTCCGAGTGAAGGGCGGGGCATAAATCCAATCTCCTCCTCCTATATTTGAGATTGTTCATAGCTTTAAACTACATAGCCCATGATGCTGCGTAGATGCTTCTTTTATTTCAAGCTGGTTTACAAGATTCCTTACCTCCTCACTCGCGAACTGCTCCCCTTACCTGTGACCCCTTCTACCTGTGAATGGGGAAAGCACATGAAGGAAATATGCATGGCTGCCCCCCACCCCATCATGTCTACCTTGATACCCATTTATGAGTCAAACTAAGCTGGATACACTTAAAACAGTTCCTTTCGCCAGCATTCTGTGCATTGCAAGGTCGTCAGACATTAAAGAAGCATTCTCACAGCACCATGGGCTATGTAGTTTAATGCTACAGGAAACGTCAACACAGTTTCTTTTATCAGCATTCTGTGTATTGCAAGGTTGCCTGAAATAAAAGAAGCATTCACACAGCATCATGGACTATGTACGTGAATGCTACAGGCAATCTCAGAACAGTTCCTTTTAACAGTATTCTGAGTACTGCAAGGTCGCCAGAAATTTAAGAAGCATTCACACAGCATCATGGGCTATGTCATTTAAAACTATGGGCAATCTCAGAATGGTTCCTTTTATCAGCATTCCATGTATTCCAAGATCACCTCAAATTAAAGAAGCATCCACACAGCATCATGGGCTATGCAGTTTAATGCTATGAAAAATCTCAAAAGTTCCTTTTTTCAGCACTCTGTGTATTGCAAGATCAACTGAAATTAAAGAAGCATCCACACAGCATCATGGGCTATGTAGTTTAACTCTTTGGGTGCACTTTGGAGAATCTCCCATCTCTGACCAAGACATTGTCAAACCAATACAACATTGTAGGAAGTCTTTGTGTGGGGGGGGGACGGGACCGGAACTAAGGGACCCGATTCTCCCGTTCTCTAACACGCCTCAGTTTTTCTGTCTCCTTTACCTTCAGTAAATTGAGAATTTTCTTGCTGAGGTCCAGCTCAAAATTGGTATAGTGGGAGCCTGCCATGTCGTATATGAAGACCAAGCCATTCCGCTGCGTTTCAAAGCTGGTGTAGGAGAGAAAAAGGAGAGTGTGAATCATCAGTAAGGGACTGAACATCCAGAGGTTATACTCCAATTTCCCTATACAAGGTTTGTGCGGAAGGAAAGAAAATTATATAACCTGTCAAACTCTCATTTACTTCTCCCATGTCTATCCCACACTTCCTCCATGGGACTGATGGCAGCATATGTATTTTGTTCTCCTCTTTGTCCTCACAACCACCCTACGAGGTAGGCGAGGCTGACAAGCACAAGATCGCTCAGTGAATGTCATAGCTGATTGGGGATTTGAACCCAAACCCCGCTGGTCCCAGCCAGCCACACTAACCACTGCACCACCTCTGGCTTTGGGCAGTTGGTTAGCATACCCCCCCCCACCAGCTAGTTAAGATGTATTGACTAAAGAAATCCGTGACCCATCGTCCCAGACCTCTATTGGTTCTTCCTTTAGGTCAACACAACACACTGAGGGCCAGATTTGGGGCCCTTTTGTGAAAACTGAAGAAAGCCTGAATCCATTTGCAGGATTGCTAAGGAAGCTCTGGCACATTTTTAACAACTGCACAATAGGCAGATGTTTGGCAGGCGAACTGCTTCCTGAGTTGGAGACAGGTAAAGGTAAAGGTTCCCTTGCTCGAAAGCCAGTTGAGTCCGACTCTAGGGTTGCGGTGCTCATCTCCCGTTTCAAAGCCGAAGAGCCAGCGCTGTCCAAAGACGTTTCCGTAGTCATGTGGCCGGCATGACTAAACACCAAGGCGCATGAAACGCTGTTAGCTTTCCACCAAAGTGGTACCTATTTATCTACTTGCCATTTCTTGCTTTCGAACTGCTAGGCTGGCAGGAGCTGGAACTAGAGACGGGAGCTCCCTACGCCATGCGGCAACCTGGGTCTCGAACTGCTGAACTACTGACCTTCCACAGCCTGCAGTTCAGCATCTTAACCACTTGAGCCACCGCAGTTGGAGATGCAGTGATGGAAAAGCTTCTCTGGTTGAAATCTGACCCTATTATCTAGGTGTTAAAGCCCCAAGCACCCTGGTGGAATGATGTCTAATTTGCACAGCTTCTTTTTTGCAATTCGCCTTACAGCTCCACCATTTGTCCCTTGCAAGGCTTGGTTCCTCGGTAAGGAAAGGGTTAACCTCAGAATACTACAACAATGAAAGCAAAAGACTCAGAATTTTAGCAAAAACTCCCTCCCCCATCCACAATTTGCACACAGAATCCTTTAGCGATGCAACCAGGTTTTCACTGAATTCGGGGTTACCGTCTGAGCCCTTCGACGAAAAACAAAAATCCGCAGGGATTATTGTTAATATCCAGAGTCTTCACTTAGATTGCCGGGTCGTCTGAGGTTAAGCCGTTCCTCGAGCTTCCACGAACAGCAGCTTAAAGACCAAAGTCCGTCAGCTGTGCCAAGGAAACCAACCCAGCAAAGCGAACTCTGGAGCCAGAAGGCGGCTGGCAGTGTGAAACCAGTAGTCTACATACCCTTCCAGATCGCTTGCTGTTCGTTTTGGGGGAAGACCACATTAGCTAACGAAGGCCCATTTTGCTATTGCTGTTGGAGCCAAACATAGACCCCCATATATTTCTCCAACCCCCTTTAAATCCAAAGAGTGATTAACACATGGAATTCACTGCCACAGGAGGTGGTGGCAGCTACAAGCATAGATGGCTTCAATATATGGAGTAGAGGTCCATCAGTGGCTATTAGCCACAAGGTATAGATAGGAACTCTCAGTCTGGGGCAAGGGGTGCTCTGTATTCTTGGCGCTTGGGGGGGGGGCAAAAGTGGGAGGGGTTCTGGCCCCACTGGTGGACCTCCTGATGGCCCCTGGTATTTTTGGCCACTGTGTGACAGAGTGTTGTACTGGATGGGCCATTGGCCTGATCCAACATTGGCTTCTCTTATGTTCTCTTTTGGTGTAGTGGTTAAGTGCGCGGACTCTAATCTGAGAGAACCGGGTTTGATTCCCCACTCCTCCACTTGCAGCTGCTGGATGACCTTGGGCAAGCCATAGTTCTGGCACAGCTGTTCTTGAAAAACAGCAGTTTCTGTCAAGAGCTCTCTCAGCCCCACCTACCTCACAGGGTGTCTGTTGTGGGGAGGGGGAGGGAAAGGAGATTGTAAGCCGCTCTGAGACTCCCTTGGGTAGTGAAGGGCAGGGTATAAATCCAATCTCATCTTCTTCTTTTACCTCACAGGGTGTCTGTTGTGGGGAGGGGAAGGGAAGAGTTTGTGAGGCGCTCTGAGACTCCTTTGGGTAGTGAAGGGCGGGGTATAAATCCAATCTCTTCTTCTTCTTGTTTTCTTATGTTCTTATCCATCTAAGCTGCTGGCTGTCACCATCTCTTGTGGCTGGGAGTTCCACAAGTATCGCACCCGCAAGCAGAAACAGCAGCTAGCCATTACACCCCATCTAAGAAAATTAGCAGGTGGGCCAGTTCTTGTGGAAAGTGCCGTTAAGTCCCAGCTGACTTATGGAAACCCCGTCAAACAGGGGTCATGGTGCCCGTCAAGTGTTTTTAGAAAGCGGGCAGAGCCAGGTGGAGCTTTTGCCCAGCAAGACTTCTGATTGGCCACTGTAGATCTGATTGACTGTGTATTTATTTTTTTTTAAATGTTGCTTTGGCAGCAGCTCCCACACCACAGCACCAGCATCTTCACTGTGTGACTGAGGGGAAGCTGCAGCGGCCATTTTGTGGCTGGCTCCGCCTCCCGAGGCAGCCATTTTGTGGCTGCACCCAGCACAGAGTGTCAGAATTCCACAGGTGCCCACAGGCTCAAAACAGTTGGGGACCAATGCTCCCTCTAAGCTGTGGAGTCTTGTGAGCAAAAATCCCACTTTGTGAGCTAATGGCATTACAGTTGTGAGCGAGCCATTTGGCTACTGCGTCCCATTAGTTTGCTCTGGAGTCCTCCTCCCTGAGCGAAGACAAAAATGCGTGAGCCGGAGGCTAAAAAACTGTGAGCCGGCTCACACTAACTCAGCTTAGAGGGAACACTGTATGGGGACTCCTGAGCTTTCAAAGCAAGAGACGAACAGAGCTGGTTTTGCCCTTGCCTGCCTCTGCGTAGCAACCTGGGACTTCCTTGGCCATCTCCCATACAAGGGCCGACCCTGCTTAGCTTCCAAGAACTGATAAGATCAGGTTAGCCCGCGCTATCCAGGGCAGGGCCACTGCTACAGGGGAAAACGCTCACAGGCCGATCCCATACTCCCTGGTGGAATCATTGAATCATAGACTCGGAAGGGAACTCCAGGGTCCCTCTAAGATCCAGCTGCCTAGATTTCCTTAAAGATCCATCCCACTAGGTTTGCCAGCTCCGAGTCGGGAAATAACGTCGAGATTTTGGGGGTGGAGCTTGAGGAGGGCGGGGTTTAGGGAGGGGAGGAGCTTCAAGGGGGTATAACGCCTAGGATTGCCAGGTGAGGATGACAAACCGGCGGGGGACTTTCCAGGAGCCTCCGGGAGAGGGCAAGGAAGATACACAATTGAACTCCAAAGGGAGTTCTGGCCGTCACACTTAAAGGGACCGCGTTCCTTTTAAATACCTGCCCTGTTACAACTTGAACATAAAAACTATCAATCGACTTTTGTGGGAAAATGGTTTCCGGTCACAAGTTAACATGGCACAGAATGGAATTATTCCTGATAATTTGGTTTCATCTGAAGTGGCTATTCTATCAACCCCAGATTTTTGATCCATAAATATTAGCTAGTCGAACTCAGATTCTTACATTTATGCAAGATGGTTGCTAAACCCAACTGTATGATTAGAAAACATGCTAGGAGCAGTGTTCCCTCTAAGCTGAATTAGTGTGAGCTAGCTCCAGGGGTCATTTCGTAGAAAAAGAGGTGCAGGAGATCATTAGCATGACTCATTAGCATAACCTATTTGCATATGCCACACTCCCTGACATCACCGGAAGTGTGTCAGATGGCAACACCCACCACTCAGGCTCCACTGGACTGTTTTGGATTGCTAGCTATTGGGGGGGGGGAACGTGCAGATCTGTCCTCGCAGAGGAGGGAGAGCTTGTACCTGAACAAAACTTGGTCTTAAAGGTGTCACTGGACTGTTTTTGACCAGGAGGCCGGGGGGGTGGGGCTCTGCAGCTTACTTGGCTGCTTCTTGCTCAGACTGAGGGCTGCTGGGAGCAGGGGGTGGGGCTTGTTGCATGTGCCCGTCCCCTGGGCTCTTTACTGCCGGAGCGCCGCCCCTGGGCGCTCCTGCAGGAAATGACCCCGGGCTAGCTCAGTTTTTTTAGCCTCCAGCTCACACATTTTTGTCTCAGCTCAGGAAGGAGGGCTCCCGAGCAAACCAATTTATGCAGCTGCCGAATCACTCACTCACAACTTTAATGCCAGGAGCTCACCAAGCAGAATTTTTGCTCACAAGACTCCACAGCTTACCGGGAGCACTGGTTAGGAGTTTTAATTCGTTAAGTTTTAGATATACTGACTATAATATCAAGACTATTATTAATGTTAAATAGTTTGTATTGCTTGGGATTCTCTGTACTAATCGTTTTATATTCATTTAATAAAAATTATTAAAATTTAAAAAATAATAATGGCGGGTGGGGGGCACCTTCTTTTGAGGCTCATGGAATTGGACCCCCTGGTCCAATCTTTTTGAAACTTGGGAGGGGGGTTGAGGAGAGGCACCAGATGCTATGCTGAAAATTTGGTGCCTCTCAAAAAATAGCCCCCCCCCCACAGGGAAATGCAAAAAATTCTGAAATGCTCTTTTAAAAGGCACCAGAAATTCTGCTTTTGGGACTGAAAATGGAAGAAGTCAATACAACTAAAAAGACCTTATTCTGGTACTTAATCACAACAGCGAGAATGATTTATGCACAATTTTGGAAAACAGAGAAAGTGCCAGAAATTGAAGACTGGATACAAAAAGTTCTGTTCATGGCAGAGATGGACAAAATTACAAAGAAGTTGAATAACAAAGAAGACGACGTGTTTTTTCAAGAATGGAGTGACTTTAAAATATATCTGGAAAAGAACTGGGATGTGAAACAAAACTTAATATGTTTAGATCAATATTAAGTCAAATGATGTTATCTTTAGATTGTAATGATAAGAAACTGATATAGTTGATGATATGAAGTAATTTGGAGCAGGGGTGGAAGCACTGCGGGAAGCCACTGGAGGGAGGGGAGGAACTGGGAATGGGGTACGCTTTCTGATAACCCTGAAGTGGCGGGAGGGCCTCTCAACCAGGGGATCCCCTGCCCCCAAGAGGGGATTGGTAACCCTAATAATGCCACAGAGTCCACCTCCCAAAGCGCCCATTTTCTCCAGGGGGGACTGATCTCTGCTGCTTGGAGATCAGTTTGTCATCCCCGGAGAATTCCGGCCCTAACACACATGTGCTCTTTTTGTAGCAGGAACTCCTTTGCATATTAGGCCACACACCCCTAATGTAGCCAATCCTCCAAGAGCTTACAGAGCTCTTCTTACAGGAGCTACTGTAAGCTCTTGGAGGATTGGCTACATTAGAGGTGTGTCGCTTAATATGCAAATGAGGTCCTGCTACAAAAAGAGCCCTGCGGGACACCCATGTGCTCCGACAGCTGTGGACTGAGGCAGAACACATTCAACACGGCGGCTATCCCCGACATATGTTTACCCAGAGTGGATTCGCTTTAATAAGCCTTCATTAGCTTTAATTTGATTGAGGAAAAGGGGGAGGCGGGGACTGCATGAGGCTTGCATACCAATCAGGCTGGAAAACAGCAGCAGCAGCAGCAGCAGCAGCAGCAGCAGCAGCAGCAGCAGCAGCAGCAGCAGAAGAAGAAGAAGAAGAAGAAGAAGAAGAAGAAGAAGAAGAAGA